CTTGTCTTCACCCACACTCACACCCTGTGATAGACATGCACTTAACACAAGACAAGTTAACCCCCATATAGCCATACATAGTGATTTTCTTTGTGTAATATTTGTCATTGATAATAAAGTCCATTCATTAACTTTAGCTGAATAACGTGCATTAATTAAAGCACGAAAAAAAAACTAATATGTGCAAGTAATAATGATAAAGGACGTAATAAAAGTAAAGCTTCATATGGTAATGTTGATGATTGTTTAGTACGTTCATATAATTCTTCAACAAGTTCAATAAGAATATTATCTGATGATGATATTATTGATGAACTATCAATTATTGTTTGTTCTTTATTAATATGTTCATTATTTAATGGATTTTGTATTTTTATTTGGTCGTTGTAATAATATATAAATACATGAAAGTATTAACACCATATATCATTTTTGGGATATTGACCAACTATTAAAAGTTTTTCAAGACTAATTGATATAATTTTTTGTGTTAAATTATCATCATTAATTAATAATAATCAAATATCATATGAATTTAAATCAACTTCATGACTTTCAAGTAAAAATAAACATGATGTATATGCATGAATTTTAGTTAATTTAAAATTGTGTTCAATTAAATGTAGATATAATTCATTATATTCTTTTGTTGTTTGTCCAAGTAAAATACTAGATTTACATAAATTATAACTTATTAAGGATATCATTAAATCATCTTCATCAAACCATGTACAAAAATATTCATCATATAAATTTGATAAATGTTGTGATGGTGAAAATAAATCAGATAGATATATAATTGAACCTATTAATTCATATTACATATATTTCAATTAGAACTTGTAATGATGATGTTAAATCAAAACCATGATGAAAAAATAATCGATCAAATAAACTCTAAATTATATATTTTTAAAGATGGATGCCAGAAAAGAAAATGTTCATACTCTAACTTTCTGATTGATAGAATTTATTTGAAATTATTGATATAAGCATTTATCTCTATGAAATAAGATAGTTTGCATGTATTATATATCAAATCAAAGTCAGAGAAACACTAGATTTTCTCTTTGATGAAATTAATAATTTAGCAATGAATTTATCTTTCTTTTAACTTAGAGTTCTATTTGTCGATTATTAAAACATATGTGAGACTTACATTAATTGATAATGGTAATGTATTATTACTTTGGATTGATGTTAATATAGTATCATATGAAAATTGTCCATAGGATAATAAATCACGTGTACCTAACCGTTCAATATTTGTAAATAAATTATTTGAACTTGTATCTAATGTTGAATGTGTTTGCATATATTGACCATCGATAAAAAAACAAAACAGATAAAATCTAGTTGATTTTTCAATCTTGTTATCATTGTGTTGCATTTGTTTTTAAAGTTTCTTCTTTTTTTTTTACAATTATTTGTTGTTTGTTTATTTTCATCATTAGATTGATTTGTGGTGAATTAATTGAAGATAAAAATGAAGCCTATATTTCTTGAAATTGTATTCTTAATAATCAACCAACTTCAAAATTGTCTTTATATAAATATTGGTAAACAAAATAATAATATAGCTATACAATGTAAATCATGTCAATAAATACATGATATATATATTTAATTTTTCTTGTTAAATAATAAAGATGATCAAGATGATTTATCTGGTTCAATTAAATTTAAATATGATTATAATATATTTGATATAGTTAAACTATGTCGTTGATAAATATATTCAAATATTGATAATAGTATTTTCGATAATGTACAACATGATATTATTTGATCTGTTTCACAACTAAGAAATGATGTTTTTTTCTTTGAAATATATTTATATAAATTATTTCTGATAGAAATATTATAAAACGTAATAAATCATGTATATCACCTATTGAAAACTGACATGTTAATTCAACATAGTTTTGTATTTTATCAAAATATATTGATATAGAATCTATGAATGCAATTGAATATGGTTGATTATTAGAAGCATGATAAAAGACTTTTTTCATAAATTGTATTAGGTGTTGTTTCAATGTCATTTTAATTTGTTTCATTTGATATAACTATACAAAATCCTAGGAAAACAAACAACGAACAGATTTATATTGTTTCTTATTTTCTCAAATCAATTTTCATTTACTATAAGAATCATCCTAAAAATTTAATGCTGTGGAAAAAATCCAATACGTTTTCGGAGTTCACGAGTTCAAACTTATAGAAAGTTTATCAAAATTCTCGAATGCAATTTATTTCGAAATATTATTTTCGTTTGCAAATAAATAACACAATCGAAAACATCTTACGAAATATAATATTAGAAAGACGTCGTTTTCTTTAATTGTAACAGTACAAATAGCACGACTGAGAATTTGATCAATCAGATTCGAGAGAAATTATTCGGTCATTGTACTAATGCAACTTAAATGCTTTCCTTTACGATTTGTATTACCTGAAATTCTGCATATTTTCTTTTTCAAAATATTTTTCGAAATTTTGAATTATTCAAAAGTCTCATCTATTACTAGCACATAAACAATGTCAAAGTAAAAAAAAAACATTTCTTTTAATTGGATTAAAATTTTTATTATACATATATATTTATTTATTTCGATAAATTAAACTAAAATATACCGGTGACATCATAAATGGTAATCATTTTTTATAAGTTATATTTTTAAGCATTTGTTCATAAATTTTTCTTGTTATATTCATATGACAATTAAGATTATTAAAATCTTCTTTAATAATATCGTTTGATATTGTTATTGATAATATTTATAAAATCCATGATATATATTTAGGTCATAAGTGTTTATTTAATGTTTGTTAGTCAAGTGTTAACATCATTTCAATACAATCATAAACAATTAATTCAGCTAAACGTAATACAGATATATATATGGTAATGGAAGAAATTGTTCAATTAATAAAACTAATAGAAGACCCTTTTCATCTAATTGTATTCCTTCACAAAAAAATAAATGACTTGCAACTGATGTATGATGCATAAGATCAAATAAATTATGTACATATGTATATGTATCACTTTATTCAAATAAAAAATAATAATAATAATTGATAATGTGTTGTTATTGATGTAAAATGTTCAACATATAATTTATGATGATATATTAAATCACAATATGATTGTAATTAACCACTGATAGATAAATGTATTCTTGATGATGATGGTGTTAATATTGGTGACCAGCATGCTTCTTGTGTATAATCAAGCATATTAAGAATATGTATCCATTGTAATAATAATGAGATATAAAATGATGATAATAATTTAGAACGTTCACTTAAACTAGTTAAGTATGAAAATGTATCAAGATTATGTACAGTTTCATCATGAATTCATAATTGATGAAAATCATTTACAATTGTTCGAAATTGTTTAACTAAAATAAAATCATAGATCTTATATAAGCATAGGAATTTTACAGTCAAATGTATTTCGCTAGCTCATTAGTAATTAATGAATTGCAGGAAAATTTTATCTTCAAATTAATGGGTGATATGTACATAAAGATAATCGGATGCAAGAGAAACTAATGTCATATTGATTTGACCACATAATTGTCGAGTATTAGTTAAAATTCATAATATTATGTCATGTAAAACACGAAGAAGAGCTCTGAAAACAAAAACGAGAATAATAGTTTTTAAATTATAAATGAAATCCTTTCGAATACTTACGCACTAAAAGTTTCATTTCGTGTTACATTGACTGATGATAAAACATCATTCTATCGTGTTAATATAGCATCTTCAGTTAAATTTTGTACAAGACATCGAAGTATTATATTTATATTGATTAACTATTGATTTGTAAATTGACAATTGACATTCTAAAAAAAATTTTCAACTACAGGAAAATTTTATAAATAAAAACAACGGACATTTCTATTTACTAATGCTCAAAAAGCAATAACAAATGGATCAATTGATCGTAATTCAACTGATGAGATAACATCAAATAGTGTTAATTGTGCGGAATAAATATCCAAAAGTGATTGATCCTATTTGAACAAAAAAATAACCTGAGATTGTAAATGAGCAAGAAGTAAATCGACAATTTGTCGTGAAAGACGTTTTCATTTATCATCTTCATTTCGAACACTATTAACAATAACTGTTAACAATCGTAAAGCCTATAACAATATAAATTCTATTATTATTTTTTCAGTACATACACATGATATGAAAAGATACTTGTATTTGTAATAATTAAGACGCCTAGTTTTCCGTCAAACTCAGATACATAACAACAAGATGATTATTTTCAGATCATCGATTCGTTGAAGTGTGGGTGTGGGTTCAATCAAGGAGAAAAATTACATATACACACCCACACTCTCTCATTTAATAAAACGTTTTAGGAATTTTAATTATTCGCATAACTCGAACAAGAAAAAAAATCATATAAAACTGGTTCTAATGCTGCCAAAGCTAAATAAAGAATTTTAACGATAATTTCTTTTTCTCGAAAATGTTTTTTTTTTACTTCCTACCATGTGTTTCAGGTTCATGTCCACTTGCTAATAATGAATCATAATGTTTTATTAAATCTTGTATTTTAATAACTTGTTTTGAATGAAGTGTATCATGTGATAACATAACAAGAAATTCAGCAATACAATAAATAAAATGCTATTTGTAAATAAACGAAACGATTAGAAATCAGAGATGTTGGTGACTGACTTTTTTTTGACCCAACCCGCAAACCC